TCAGAATTAATGCTAGCCAAAGTTTGGCAAACTTCGTGCTCAAGAATTTTATTATTAGATTCAGATTCCTATCAATTTTTTGAAAATTTAACTAATATTTTTACCAAAGTAAAAAGAAAAGATAAAAATATCTACAAGGATCGTTTAATCATAAGATTCAAAAATATTTTGAAATTGGATCCCTTTTCACAATTCTAAATACAATCTAATAAGTTATGTTATAGTTTTTATTTAGCTTATAACTCTATTTTTGGATAGTGACTGCAAAACTGATTGATGAATTTATATATTAAGTCCTCATCAGACAAAAATATTGGTGCAACCCATATATCAATCTTGCCAGTAAGGATTAAGGAACTAATGAGCTCAATTCTTAATATATTAATAAAGCCTGAGTTCCTTGTCGCGATTCTTAATAAGAAAGACTTCAAGGAAAAGCATAGGAGATAGCAAAATATTTTTTCAATAATAAATTTTATAAAACAAATCTAAGTTCATTAATCATTATATAAATTTATTAAGGTTAAAAGAAAATTAAAAACTCCATTGAATCAAACTTGTACCTATTATTTTAATAAATATTATTCAATTAATATGATCAGAAAAATAAATGTTTCAAAATAAAATAGTCACTATTAGTAAATATCGCGATATTGACCTCGCTATAATATCTTCGCGAATTCGTTTTCGCTATAAAACTTTCGCGATAAAAGTTTTACTGTAATGTATTCGCTTCAAAGGTTTCGCGATAAGGGTTTCGCCGATATTATCATGGAATAGTATTTGCGATAAAAGTATCGCGATAAATAGTTCGTTGAATTGATATGGAATCCGGTTATGAGTCGATTATCGGTCAAATCACAATATTTTTAGAATAATGTTTAACAAGTTAATATATGCATAAAAAACAAGAATAAAGATTTTTTAATTGAGACCAGAAATGGAGTATTTAGTCATAGGGTCGGATATATGTCTGTTATTGGTCAAATCACAATAGTTTTAAAATATTTTTTTGGAATTATAGCGCCATAAAACAAAAATAAATATCACAAGCCATGCAGTATATCGGCCAGTTTTAGTCAGCAATCGGTCAAATTTAAATATCTTAAAAATATATTTTGGGATAGAAAACAAAAATGAAGAGTCGATCAATAACGCCAGCAATGTGTGCTTATGAGTTTGCAGTTATTTTTCGATTCCAAACTTTAAATTAAATGTCAAAATTAAAATATTCGCGGCTGAATACGTATGCTACCCAAATGATGGGGTGGGGAGGATTAGATTTAGAGGTCTGCCTCGCCCATCTAAATGAGCGGGCTAGTGGGTTAAAATTTTTAAAAAACTGGCGGGAGGGATGAGTAGGTTAAAAAGTTCAAAATTTTATTTTATATTTAAAATCATTTAAGTGAAAATTTAAAAAAATATGCTCCCTGACATTTAAACAACTTAATAGCAAAGTACCGATAACTGAGAATGTTTTCGTCGGAAGAAATTTATTAGATAAAAATATATCGTAAAGAATATAACATCAAAGTGGATAAAACTCTGATTTACCCGTTTCTTTAAAAGCAAAGAGAATTTAATTAAAAATTATAAATGCAATGTTTGAAATAGATAGCATCCACGTCAAAATTAAGCAAAAACAAATGGGAAGATGTGGCTGTTCAGAGGAAAGCACCTAATGACATAACAAAAAATTTAATTTCAAAGCAACGAATTTTTATATCATTTAGCGGCTATTTAGTTTAGTTTAAAATTTATAAACAATTAATTTAAATTACTCTTTTTATTTATTAATGATTTCACTTTTTATTTAAATATCTCACTTTAATAGAGGATATACTTCAAACGGATATACTACTTTGATGGAAACGACAAGAAAAATATTTACCAAAGCTATCAAAATTAGCTAGAAAAATATTGGCAATTCCAGCAACCAGTGGTTCTTCTGAACGAGGGCTGGAAGATTTTTAGTATCAATAAATATTGATTTTATATTATTACATAAATATTTTATTAAATCAAATAAATTCCTTATCCGTAAAATTGAATATTTTTAATGCGATATATAACAATTTTCCAAATTATAAAACTTTTTGTAGGGATGTAGCGCTGAAACTAAATCATTTCTTTATTAGATGTTTAAACAAGTTGAAAGAATGAGATCATTTAAATTTTATATGGGCGGCGTAGGTTAAAAATTTTTTATAAATAATAGGCGGGCGGGTATATTTTTTAAAAACTATGGGCGGTTTAAATTTTTCTAAAAATATTAGATGGGCGGGTGACCTCTAGTTCGATCAAGATCTATCCATTTTGATTTTTGAGGCAGGTTGAGTGCTTGAAAACACAGATTTAATGGGGGTGTTTTAACCATCGTCTAGAAGGAAACTACAAATACCAACTAAAAAGGGGGAATACAGGGGATACTCGCGAGGCGCTGCAAGACCACTCCAAAAGCAACCCGTGGCTTTTAAGTAGTGAAGGTCAACGGTCCGGTCCTATTGGTCTTACACCGGACCGATCTTTTTCTTGAGGACCGTAATCCGGACCGGTCTTTTTATTTTTTACGGTCCAGACCGCGGTCCGGAGCGGTCTTTTATTATTGTTTAAGTTTGCTTTACTATACAATTAATATAATTTTTTTGTATATTTTATTTTATGATATTTTTCTAGAGGAGTCATTTTAGATTTTGTTAATTTTTATTTTACAATATGAAAACCATAAGTTTGTCCAAGAAACATTTTACTTATAGTCCCAATAAAAACATAGAGTATGTGTTCACTGCAGTACCAAATTTAATGTATCGTCAGCACCTAGTAACAAAATAATTGTTTATAATTTTTTAAGCAATAAATTAATCAAAATAAGCAATAATATTATTAAAATATTTTAGTTATTATATAGTTCTATTTTTTTTTAAAGAAACTGTCTGTATAATTTATTGTAAAAATTACTTAACCTTATTCTTAATAAAATAATTAGGTACCTTAAGCAGACATCTGATAAAACATAAAATATATACTTCTAATGATGAAAATGAAAATATCTCAAAAAACACAATCTACTCTTAATTTTAATATGCCCTCTACAAGCACAAAATCATTTTTTTCAATACCATTGGATAAATTTTATTGTTTATATAATACTCTTATATTTAATAAAATGAGAAAACAAATCAAATTAGGTTTAAAAAATATGTTTTTTATTTAGGACCACGGTCTGGATCGATCTTTTTCTTAAGGACCGTGGTCCGGTCCGGTCCGAGGGTATCGGTCCAGTCCGGACAGTGACCTTCACTACTTTTAAGATAATCATCATTCACGAAGATAATATAAGGAAAAATCAATATGGATTTGGGTTTTGCAAGATGCATCCAGGCCACATGATAATCAACTAATTTAGTATTTTTTTTAAAAAATTTTGGATTAATTTAACGCCTCGTTTATAGTAGGCGTGATTTGCTCAAGTGATGCGAAATTAATCGCTAGCAAAATCTGATTCGTCATAGATATATTTTTTGAAATATACGTAAACAGGTTAGGCGGTTTAATTATGCTTCGAATTTATAAATTTATACCAATTATTGATTTACTTTTGTAAATTACGCAGCAATTAATTTCACATCGCTTGATCAAATCGCAATAAGGCCTAAGTCTTGTTCTTTAATCATATTAAATATTGTTTAAATTTTGTCAGATTTGGGATCGTCATAAAAGAATCTAGATAAAGATTCTTTATAAAAAATGCATATTATTAAAAATATCAAAATGATGTAAGATACTTGTAACCTTTGCTAAATAAGAGTAATAGTTTGTTAGGTCTGACCTTAATTCCATAGTGGCATCTTGAAGTCACAAAAGACCCCTGATATGCTTCTCCATTTCATTCAACCGATACTTTTTAAAATATTTCTATATTCATTTCTAAAGAAAATTCAATTTTCAGTCTTAGCACTTTTTAAAAAAAACAGAAACTTATCACAATTTTAAACTTATAATTTTTATTTGATTATTCCCGTCATTTGCTAGATTTTTTCAAAAAATTTCTAATTCTTAATAAAAAATAATCATCATACAGTTTTTACATTGTAAGATAATTTTAGCCATAGAAGTAAAATAACAATTCATAATATCGGACAATTTGTCTTAAGGACATTTTATCAGAGGAAAGATTTTATCTGCATACAATTCGTCAGGTAATTGAAGTAATTGCGTCATTAAAATCATAAAAATAAAGGGTGCCCCTCAGCTTCAATATTCATTTTATAATGTAATTATTTAGAGGGAGACTAGCACCATTGGATTAGAAGGGGTCTAATGGAAACTGAGTTTATATCTTAGTTATTAGACATCTTCATCAAGTAAGCTTCTATTCTTAGCCTGTGTCATGCTTTATATTTATCAATATATTTTTCAAAAAACCCAAATTTTTCCTTCCTTTATTTATAATTAATATAATCCTTACTACCATTACTCATTAATACAATCAAAGGCATTCAATAGGCCAATAAAAATAGCAGCCAAAAGAATAATGAAATGAGGTCTGCACATGATTTGTTTTAAAAACAGATTTCTATTTATACAAATATACAATAAAATAAATATAATTCATCAATAGTAACGCAATTACATGATTTTTTGGAAAAAAAGTAATCCTGTAACATAATTACTAAAAAAGAATGACTAATTGTATTTAAAATTTTCTAAATGCCTTTTTCTGCATAAGGGAGAAAAATTTACAGGATTTAAGCAAAGAGATATGCAAAGCCTAGCCCAATTTTTGGTAAAGATTGTCCAGCTTGCCCATTTATGTATAAATTGTGAGGCCCAATCTGGCCTTATGCATTTTTTGTTCAGCATGGCACATTATGATTTTTTTTAAATTTGCCTTTAAAGTTATGCATTAAATTTAAATATTCAACAACAACTTTGGTAATTTAATGTTTATTTATTTATTACAAAATATTATAAAATAATTAGTAAATATTTAACACCTATGATTTTTTTAAAAAACTTCTTATCTTTTAGATATATTTTATAATTGTGATATTTATTCAGGCAAAAAAAGGAAGAATAGGAGAGAAATATAAATAATATTTTTGGGCCATGAGCACACCTATATTTTATTAATGATGTTATTGCAAGTGAAGGACTCTATTGGACATTGCTTTTGGGGAAAATATAAGGATCAAGCTTTTTATATTTATTTTTTAGTATTTTCTAAGGAAGTTGCTATTAATGTTGGAAGGTTGACTCTAAATTTTAATCTTGAATTTATAAAAAAAATTTTAGATCTAGTCTGGATTTTTAAAATTATGATTATTTTCTATATTTAATGAGTCATTTTGTAAATTGTCTCAAAAGAAAAATTTGAGCAATAAATTTCAATATTAAGCATATAAACTAACCCTAAACCATTCTCCCCAACCCAAAGTTTGCCAAGCCTTATCCTGTATTTAGCTTCTATTATATTTATAACTGAATTAAGAACAAAACATTTTAACTATAATCTGTAAAGTAAAAAAAAATTTAAGTTATTTAATTTTAATATTATTGTACTAATTAGGGGTGGCATATAAATTTATAGGTTATGATGCAAGGAATAAATATAAAGTCATATTAATTTAAAAATTAATACATAAATATTTAAAACCTTTTCAAAAAATAAAAGCATAATTTATTTATTATATAAAAATATATTCTTTAAATATTACATTTTTTAATTCATTTTAGGACTAAGATTTTGATAATCTTGATAATCTTTCAGAGTTGTCAACAGAGATATTTTAGCTTGTATTTTCAAACTTTCTGGAAGTTTTTTGATTTCTCCAACAAGAGATAAAACAAATATTCTATCTTCATCATCATCAGTTTCTATTATTTTTTTAAGTATTTTTTCAACATTTAATAGGCTTGATATATTATTTGACAGAGCCTTTTCATTTTTATGATCATTAGTCTCATTCAAAGAATTTGATGTTTCATTCAAAGAATTTGATATTTTTGTAATGATGGGAGTTGTTACGTTGGGTAATATAGAATCATTCGACTTGAATACAGATATTTCTAAAAAATTTAGGGATTTTTTCTTTCTTAAGTCAAGTGATTTTGATAAAAAAGATAAGGAATCAAAAAATTTCCATCTGGAAGTTGGTAATCTATCTTTTTTTGACTCTTTAACAAAATTATCTCTCAAATTTTTCCATTTTGATTTGGCTAATAATATGTCAACATGGCATCTTATAAAATAAATTAGGATATTATAAAGATTATAATTGTATTTTACATGTCACATACGTCAACCCAATCTTGAGATTTTTTTTCATTATTACTGTAGTCTTTATCGGATGGATCCCATATGGCAGGGCGCGATTTTACCATAGATATAAAAGATTTAACAAAAAGATCACTTGAAGATTTTTAAAAATGTAAAAATTGTACTAATTACTTTGAGGCTTTAATTTCATTATTGCTACTATTAATAGGAGTATTTGGTGTTATATTGATAATTATATTATCTTTATTATCCATTAATATCTTTCACAAAAGCGATTAGCGTAGAGTACGCGTGCGAAATTTTGCCCTGACAAAAAGAAAGCATAATTAATAATTATTTATTTAAAATTAAAGTAATTATATAAAATTAATTATTATATCATGCATTTTATAAAATAAATACGTGTAAAAATATCATGATAATGGTTAGTGTTGTTAATTAGTCTAATCGTAGTCGAGAAAATCGACTAAAAACTTTAAATTAGTCGACATTTCGTGTATTTGTTTATAATATTATTTCTACTATATTACTTTTTATTTATTTTAATTTTGAATATGCTTATTTTTAGATTTCTAAAACTTTAATAAAATAAATTTAATAAATAAAAATAATAATTCTTAGTCAAGTAATGGACTAATTTAATGGCTAAAGATTTTAGTCGAATTTTTGACTATAACTATTAGTTAGTCATCTGTTAGTCGACTAAATTGTCGATAACAAAATTAATAATAGTTATCATATATATTGATGACATAGAAATTAATAACATTTTATTTAATATAATAGAACAAGATTTTTAAAGTATCATTATTTATTTGGCTAAAAAGTTAATGAGGAAAACTAATAAATTAGTAATTTATTATATTGTTTATAAAAAAAATGGAACATTCAATTAAAAATATGTGATTAAAAACGATGATTATTTATTTTATGTGACAACTTTAAAATATACAAATAAACTAGTAGATAACCCGTCAAAAATGACGGGGAACAAGGATTTTATTCGTTCTCCTACGATAGATGTTACCTTTTTTTAAAAAACCATATCTAATTTTTATACTTTTTATCCCCCCCCCCTATCCCCTTAAGGCAAACCAAGTTCAACTCATTAATACTAATAGAATACTATTTTTTGATTAAAAATATATTTAAATTAACTTTTACTTGAGACCCATATCAAAATTTTTGCTAAAATATTATTAATTACCTATGGCAAATATTTAATATTAAAAAATCCAGAGCCAGGTCCAAGTCCACAATAATTTGCAAAAATTTCCCCAAACCCGGTTTAAGACCATAATAATTCTGGTAGTTCAAAACTAAAATTAATTTTTTAAAAAAATCATAATGCATTAATCATCTTCTTGGTACTTTTTTGATCAGGCCCTGTCCAGGCCTGCAAAATATTTTTTTAGGCCAATGACTGGCCCATATTATATATTAAAAAATTTCCAAGCTTCCAAGAGCTTAATAATTTTAATTTTTCCCAAGCCCAGCCCAACCTATTATAATTTTAAAATTTTTTCTCAAACCTGGTTCAACCCATAATAATTTTGAAAAAATTTCCCAAGCCTAGAGGAATATTTTCCAAGCCCAGAAACCCATAATAATTTTGGAAAATTTTTCCCAAGCTCGGAGATAGTTAAATTTCTAATTAATTTATCATAGCCCTGCCTTTGGCCTGAGGAAGTGTAGCTGGGAATAACAAATGGCTAGTAATCAGAAATTCCCATAAATAACAAATAGTGAAGGATCACAAAATATAATATGGGTATGGGGTTAAGAACGGATATTAAGAAAATATTATTAATTTATGTATTGGCATAATATAAATGGTATATTTTCAATAGTTAATTTTATTGAGCGGGAACAATGACAAATAAAAATTATACAAATATTTACCATATGCAAAATAATAAGTATATATGCGAATTAAGATGATATTGTTTGGAGAACTATTTTGGCAAACTTTCTATCATGTATGATCCTTGAAATTTGAATTGAAATTCGGACCTTTTTTTGATAGATCCTTTTCCTTTTTTGATCAAACTTTTAATGGGAAATTACCGGTGCTTGAGAGAAAATGGCAATCCAGAATCAGTTTGAATTAAAAAATTTCTAAGAATGATAGGAAGAAAGAGAAAAGAGAGAAATAAGCAGAACTGAAAGGAATTGAGAAAGGGAAAGAAAAAAGAAAGATGAAGGAAATAGGAAAGAAAACGGGGTAATGGAAAGTGAAATAAAAAATAGAGAAAAGGGGAAAGTGAAAGAAAAATAGATTAAAAGAGAAAAGTGGAAGAAAAATGAAAAGAAAAGGGGAAAAGGAAAGAAAAAGGGGAAAGGAAGAAAAAGGATAGGAAAAAGTAAGAGCAAGGAGGAAAAAAAATGTAAAGGGGAAGAAAAAGATAAAGGAAAAAAAGAAAGGGGAAGGAAAAGGAAAATGAGAAGGAAAAGAAAAAGAAAATAGGAAAGGAGAAAGGAAAGAAAATCTGAAAAGGAACAGGGAGAGGATAAGGTAAAGAGAAAGAGAAAGAGAAAGAAAATGGAAAGGTAAGGGAAAGAGAAAGAAAAAAGTAAAGGAAAGGAAAGGGGAGAGAAAAAGATTAAGGAAAAGAGAAAGGGAATAATGAAAAGAAAGGAGGGGGGATGGTAGGATTGTTAAAAACCCTGATTTCGGTCATTTTTAAAAACAACTCAATTATTTTAGCCAAATTAATATGTAAGACTGAAGATTTTGCTCGTAGATGGCAAAAATGTTTGGACCCATATTTAGCCAAATCTTGAAACTTATATAATATTATTTTATCTAAAATAATATTAGTGTTATTTTTGTAAATCGACCCAAATCAGCATTTTAATAAACCTATAAAAATTGAAAGGTAAAGAAAAAAGGTAGAAAAGGAACAGTGAAAGGGAAAAGAAAAAAGGAAAGAATAAATAGAATTTATTATTATAAAACCTGTAGAGGAGTCAGCTAGTATTAATACCCTTTAAAGAGCATATCCAGTGTAGTGGATTAATATCCACTGTTTGGAAATTTAAACCCATTGTCTGGTATCGTTATTATTATAGTATACATATCTAATGAGAGGTGATAAAGCACATCTTTGTTTTATACCACATTTTTGTTTAAAAAGGTGAGGTTAATGTATTGTGTTTGATGTTAATGAAACTATTTTCATAAATATTTATAATAATTTTGATTATATGTGTGTTGATTTTTTATTTAAAAAGATTATTTCAGATGGATTAATGACATATTGAGTCGAAGGCTTTGGAAATGTCAATAGATATATAGGTTAAATTTATGAAATGTTGTTTTTTCTAATTTGATTTTTAAGGCTATTGTTAATTTCAGGGAAGGCAGGTAAAGAAAAACCAAAAAATATTTTTGAAATCTTTTATTTAATTTCTCATTTCTTTTTTTTAACTATTACTACTACTACTGAAGATGTTGAAAATTTTACAACTATATATATATTATTATTTTAATACTATTTACATATATACAATTTAAGGTTAATTTTTAACAAATTCGTCCTTAAATTAAATTAATATTTACGAAAATTCGGAAAATATAAAAGGTCATTTAAAAAATAAAGAAAGAATTTTACAAAAAGGTCATTAATTACAAAGTAAAATATGCAAAATTTATATATTAACAGCTATGATTATTCAATTGTATTTCTTCCTTTACGGAAAGATGCAATGTTATCATTGGTGTTATTATCATTGTCTTTTATTATTAGGTTAAATAATAAGTTGGTTAGAATTTTATAAATTGATGATGAAAGGATTATATCTCTATAACATTGGTTATTTAGGGAAAGGTATTTAATGATGGTTGATTTGCAGATTTCAGGAGGTACGTTTGCTGTTAATCATATCTTGTTTAAAACTGGAAATAGAATTTTTGATGTTGTAATTGGGAATTTTTTAAAAGTTCATTTGAAAGATTGTCCGACATGAATTTTGTGATTTTTGAGGCAGTTTATAGCTTTTATGATAGCATCTTGTTTTTAGAGAAAATGAGCATGGGTATTTAGTTGTTGTTAAAGATTTAATGAGAGGTATTTACAATTGAAAATGTTCATAATGATCAATACATATATTTATTTGATCTTCTGGATTGTTAATCGTGAGACAACCTGTTAATCGATATTGACTTTTTAAATTTGTTTAACTTAAATTGCTTTTATTTTAAATATGTTAGCCTTTAACCATGTATTTCGTTTAAATTGTTTTTTTATATATATGTATATATATACCTTATTTTATATTTATTTTTAGTATCATTTTTATGTTTAGATATATTTATAATATATAAAACATTTTTTTCTTGTCCATACAACACCACCGTTATTGATATATAACATGGTGCCCCGCTCTATTTGTAACTCACGCACAATGATATATAAAAAAATTTCATACACACACAAAGTAAAAGAAAAAATTTTTTATATAACTTTACAACGACAATATATATCTTTATGCTAATTTAAATAAAGTTTTAAAATTAAAATTTACAATTTGGATAAAAAAAAAGCATATCGTCCAACAGGGAAGTTAAGTTTCCAAAATTGGAGGTATGCTTGACGGACACTTATTTGGAGAGACTTGACGATTATTTCTCTCAAACAATTTTATCCGACTCAGTAAAAATTGAAACATTGATGAGCAATTTATCTGATGACCTATACGATAAAATTAAGTCATTATGTACTAAGGAAGATATCAAAGATTATAAAATTATTATTATAAAATTAAAATGTTTATTACCCAGTCAAGATGTTTGGATATTGACTGGGAAGTTTAACCTTGCTTCACAAGGTGTTAAGGAATCTTTTTTGGATCGGTTTTTTTAGACTGTCTAAGTTAAGTAGACAATGTAATTTTATTAATGATGATCGCATAAAAGAAAAATTGAGAACATCTAGTTTAAATGACAATATAAAAAATAAATTAAATAAAAATAAATATTTACTACACATTATACGAAATGATTGAAATAGGAAGAAAATTAGATAGTATTAACATTAAATCAGAAAGTGACAATGTTAATCCTGTTTTTAGTAGGGATAAAAAATTTAATAAAAATAATGACAATAATAGAAATAATGATAAGAATTTAGATATTCAAAGTACTTTTAATAGGAATGAGATTAATAATAACTATAATAGACCTAATTATTACTCGAGGCAAAATTTTGACAGTAGGAATAGAAATTATGGTGATAGCAATTTTAGTAATGTTAACTATAACAGGAACAGGAATTTTAGTAACGTTAGAAA